CTTAGAGACATGTGCTGGGGAATGCCTAATGCTTTAGTGAGGTTCAAGAGAACATCAGTTGAAGATCTGGGTAAATAGAAAGTAAATGGCAGTCAGCAATAAAAAGAATAATTGTTAGATCTGAGAAAAATATGTACATGTATCATTGAAGACCTTGGTAGGCATGCTGTGTGTGTGTGTGTTTGTGTGTGTGTGTGTGTGTGTGTGTGTGTGTGTGTCTATATGCATGCAGGGAAGAAGGAGCTTCTTTATGTGTTGAATTTAAATTAGCTCCCAACAGGTTTAGGGAGGAACATGTTCAAAACTGGTTTTAGTTTTATTTTTATAAATTTCTATATTGTTATACCACAATCATTTTGTCTCATTATCCCTGCAATAACTTCTTCATTGAAAATCTCAAGGCTTATATTTTCCTTGTAACTTTTTTACTAACTGTCCAGTTCATTAAGATGAAATTTGTATACACGTAAAATATACCTTTTATAATATGCAAGAACATCTAAATATAATTTATTAAGCACAACTAATATATATATTTAAAATCCCTAAAATCCTCTAATGCTCTTTGTGGTCACACCTGTCTCTCCCACAGCCTCTGGAGTCACCTGTTCTCTGTCTTGATAGTTTTTTTCCTTCTCTAGAATAGTGACAAATGGAATCCATCTGTCACAAGTCTTTTGAATAAGGCCTCCTGCTTTTAATATATACAATTTAAATCCATCTATGTGATTGCATATATTAGTATTATTGCTAAATATTATCGCATTATGTAGATAAACTGAAGATTTTTTTCATTCCCCAGTTGATAGACATTGGGTTTTCCTTTATTTGGCTGTTAAGAAAAATGCTGTGGTGAACATCTGTACACAAGTATTTGTCTATGTTTTCATGACATATATTGCCAAATCTCTTAGGTAGGTAACTAGGAACAGAACTGCTTGAATGACATTAGTTTTTGTTTTACATATTTGGAGGATCTCTGAATGTATTTTAAGCAGTTGCAGTGACATGAACAGATGGTGTTTCAGAAAAATCCTTGGAACAATGTGGACATGGGGAGAAACAGGAGGCAGAGAGACTAGTTAGAAAATTGTTGATTTTCTCTCTGTTTCGTTTCAGCAATTGCTGTTTTTCACTGCCTTCCATGGAATAAAGGACATAGAATAACATGAAGATTCTGGTGTGTTTTATAGGTGCTAGATTTCTTCTATGTACCATAGTCTAAAAATACCTCTTCCTGTGGGCTTAATGGTAATAAAAAGAGAAAAGATTAATTTTAATCAACCTAGGTATGGCTGTCATGCCCTCCACTATTTTTTAAAATTTTTCTCTTAATATTTCAAGCATGATATGGCGAGGGAAATAAGGATTTGAAATACAACCAGCCCCTTTTCTTTCTCTCTGCTTTTAGAGATGTGTAAAACACTTGTAATAGTGTTGCCAGATTGGGGTCCTAGGACACTTCTTTCCAGATCCTTGGTGTCCTGAATAAAGAGCTGGACAAGACACACAGGAAAGACAGTGAGGTATAGATCTATTGAAGTTACAAAAAAGGGACTCTACAGGGTGGGTGGCCCAGTGAAGAAGGGAACTGTTAGTATCCAAAATACCTGGATGGATCCCTACCTTATGTAAATATGGCTTTGGGACAGTTATCCTAGCAAAATCTTGCTTGGCCTCATGCCATATATAAATTCTCTGTTTGAAAAACTCACTTGATTCTTACCAACTATAAAGGAAGTATCAGAGTCTTTTGATTGGTTGTGCCCACTTGTAACCAAAGGAGATCATCTTGGGTAACCCTGATAATGACTGGAAACAGTAACATGTATATATTCCTAAAACATTTAGATTCCTCCTAAAACATTTTGAAAAACTCCAAATTCAACAAAATTAGTAATCCTTTAAATACTTGATAGGCCAGTTTAAAAAAAAAAACCTTTACATGATTTAAATGAACTGAAAATTAGAAACACAGGAAGTCAAACAGACCTTAAGAGATCCAGCCCAGGACATTTAGTTGTAGTGAGAAAACTAAAGCCAGGCAGCTTAGAAGCGTTCACCAGCATCGCACCAGCATCGCACCACAAGCACAGGGCTCACGTTTCGGTGGCTTGACTATGTGCTTTCCCCAAACAAGCAGGATGTAGTGTGCCAGGGGGTGCTTGTTTGTTTTCCATAATTGAGAAAACCACTTCAGGCTTTTTATACATTTAAAAATAAAAATCATAGTAACATAAAACTCAAATTTCAAAAAGAGGAGCAATAGAAGCTAAGAAATATGTAGATAACAAATAAGACAGGAATTTCTTGGTAACAGGTACTGGATGACTAATATTTTGTCTATTTTGTGCTGTTAGTTGAAATATTGTGACAATAAGGTAGTGTATACTTCCTTAGCAAGCACTTTATTTTACTGTTCACTATCTTGGATGTCCTACACTGCCAATTCTAAGTAAATCTCATGTTACCTGGATGCTGGTAACATAGAAGACTGGTTGGGGAAAGACTGTGATGCCCCTGAGAAACCTTCTCAGGTGTATACCAGGCTTTCTGGGAGACCTTACTGTTGTTCTGCTGATAGTCCTATGAAAGCAAAGTGAGCAACTGGGAGACGTGTCGGTGCTGGAGGACAAGACGCGAGCTCCACCACTATAAAGCCACTTCGCTGTCAAATGAGATTCACTTGCCACATCAGCATACATGCTAACACATAGTGACATATGATTGAAAACCCTTTTCTCCGTTGTTTGTTCAGTCTGTGCTTTAGACGTTTAGCATTTAGCCACTGGGGGACTGGAGATCCAGGGAGCGAAGAACAGTAAGGTAGCATCAACCAAAGGGGAGACCAGAGAATCAGTTACAATGTACAAGAAACTTAAGAAATGTAACCAAAGTATCAGCTTTAGTAGTGATGAGAGCTGACTGAAGGGTAGATGTTGGATAGTAAGAACCAACAGGCTTCCTATTGCTAAACCTCAGAACTAAACACACCTGCCAATTCCAGGTAACAGAACAACTGTAACTCTCCGGGTAGGACCCAGTGCACATGCACCCTGCTGAGGCACAGCCGGTGCGCCTTCGGGTGCAAGCTCTCCATCTGCCCGCTCAGCAGGCTTTCACATGCGGAACAGTGGGGGGTGTTCCTGGCAGACTTATTGGTTAAGTGGATCATATCACTTATCTCTCTCTCTTTCTTTTCTTTGACAAGAAGATATTTGTGTTCCCTCTCTCTCATGCGGACCAAAGAGGGGTGGTTTCAAGGGACCCTTTCAAAGTCTCAGTGGTGTAATCTATGAAGTTCAATTCGCCACGTTCTGGAGGCTCGCAGAATGAAAGGCCGTATATATAAAGAACCTGGCATCATAACTGACGGAGTGAGTGCTGTGAAAAAGTAAGGACCCAGCCCAGGATGCCGGGAGACGGAGACAGATTTAGAAATTTGGACCCAGCCTTGGCAACTTAGTAACCTGTCCAGACTTTTCTAAAGGAAAAACAAAAACACACAAACAAACAAAAAAACAAACCAAAACCAAAACAAAAAAAGCTAGGAGAAGGCTGAGGGTGTAGCTCAGCACAAAAGTCCTGGATTCAATTCTGCATACCTCCCTGCCCCCTACAAAAAGTACATTGAAGAGACTTTAACAGATGCTGATGGGGACTCCTTAGAGAGATACAGAGTAAGGAGACACTAAGAAAACACATTCATAAGGCAATGTGCAGAGGTGTGTGTTGGGAAAGGGTAGGTGTGAGAAACAGTCCCTCTGCCTTTCTGATAGGATAGACATTATTAATTGTGTAGCTTTTAATGTCAGGAAATTAAGGAAGTTCATTTCTCTATCACTTCTGTTCAATCCCACTTGCTGGCGCAAGTCAGTTTCTCTACCTGGAAACTTCTGTATATCCTTCAAGCTTCTGCCCCAGGCACTCAACACCTGTCCACTCCACAGACACTGCCAAGGTGTGTACCTGCAGGATCCCCCCACCACACACACACACCTGTGGCTGTGGTGCTTCCACGATGAGGACTGTGATTCAACTGGGTGCTAAGAGCACACTCAGAACCAAAAGTTGTTTGCTGTGTCTGCATTTAAGACATGCTGCCACCTGGCAGGAGTTTATGGTTTGGAAAAGAAATAAGTACACAAATGATTCCTCCATAAAAACCATATGGAGGAAGGAAATAGAGGGGTAAAATGTAAACAGGAGGAGAAAGAGAAGCAAAAAGAGAGGGAGAGAGAGAAAAACAGACTCCGTAAGTGATATCTGCAGAATTTATAAGGACTGAGGTTTTAAGTTAAAGAATAGGCATGTTTTCAACTGAAAAACGTAAAGGATAGGCCATTTTATTTAGAGAAAGTAGCATATGAAATGGCATAAGGTGTAAGAAAGGAAAACATGGGGGTGACCCAGTCTGCCTGAAGTACAGAAAGTAGCCGAAAGCTCTTCTCACCGATTAATGGGGTCCAAACAGAAGGAGAGAGGGCATCAGCTAGATGGTGGATCACTTAGGGCACACATGATGTCTACCCATTATATTTCCCATCTTGTTTGGGGACAGTTCATGGCACTCCAAACATCAAAGCTCTGCCGATTACAGATCACCACAGCAGCTCTAATAATCAGAAGAAAGTTTGAAATATTAGGAGAATTCGCGCAGTATAATGCAGAGACGGGGTGTTGGAAACATGATAGCCATAAATTTGCTTCAAAGGGTAGGGTAGCCATGAATCTTCAATTTGTAAAAAATGTGGCATCTGCAAAGAGCAGTGAGATCTTTGTAGTGACAATAATACCAGGTATGTTTATGTAAGGAAGAGCATCTTCCTTGGTAGCTACTGATTTGTGGTGCCCTCCTCCTGTCTGCGAGAGAAAAGACAAGGTGAGCTCCTTAGTTAGGTATTTGAAACTAACTTGAGGCTTTGCACTATTTGTAAATTACCTTTCTTAGTAACTATTTCCAGACAAAAAATTCAAAATAAAAACCTCTTTTCTTTCAGCTAAGAAAAAGAAGCCTAAACTTTTAAATAAATTTGATAAAACTATTAAGGCCGAACTTGATGCTGCAGAAAAACTTCGTAAAAGGGTAAGTTGATATTTTTGTTTTCCACAGAAATGTACAATGTTTTCACTGTAAACTCAGGCATTATACTATTTTAAAATAATAATTAATAATAATGTTAAAGGGACGAACTTTGAATAGAGTGAATTATTTTGCCCAGGCACATCATTGTATTTCCATGTGAAATAAATTAAATGGCAAAGAATTGTAGCCAATGACCAACCTAGCTTCCAGGTGGCTGACTTAGGTATCAGCATACCTCTGAAAGTATTAGAGTTGTATGGATTTCAGGAAATCACTTTACTATTCCAACCCTCACTTACTTATTTTAAAGAAATGACAATGATAAGTATTCTTTCTGGTTTTTTTCTTGCTGTTTAATAGAGATCAAATGAGATTAAAAGAACAAAAAATATCAACACTGTTAAATACTGTATTAGTGAAAGTTTTTAATTACAGCACCTCAATGTAAAAAAATGAAATAAAATAAAAAGTAGATTAGACCTATACTCGTGGAGAAGTTATTATTAGGTAAGATGATACTAAGTTTTAACATCCTTCTCATGTAAGGTTAACCTAATGTACGCTTATTGTGCCATGTGACTATTTATTTTATATTTGCTTTGTCGTCAGCTGATTTGAAATCTTTTTTATTTTAAAGAGAAAATAATTTCAAAACAAGATAATTACAGGAAAACAATAATTATTCTTTCATTATTAACATTATGTATTGGTATCTTTAAATTAGTTAAGTGTAGTACAAGATATTTGCATTTAATGTCCAAACACTAATAGCACAAACCTGTCTTTTCAATGACATAGGTAGCATAACTATCTTAACATTCATATGTATATATGTATAAAACTTTCAATAAAATGCATTATATATATATATTATATTAGCTTCTCACACTAGGGAGACAATACAGTGTTTACAAATGTGAGTTTGATTTATTTCACTTATGAGTAAAGTCTCTGGTTGCATCCATTTACCTATAAATATCTTGTTTATCCTTCTTTATGACTGAGTAGTACTCCACTATATAAAAAATACCTTTTTTATCCATTCTTCGAGTGATAGGTATTTGATTGTTTCAAGACCTAGCTATTACAAATTGTAATGGGTCTTATATTTCACTGTAGTATGATGTTTTAAATTCTTCTGAGAAGATACCCAGAAGGGGAATAGTTGGGTCAAATGGGACCTCTAATTCTAGTTCTTTTGAGGAATCTCCACAGTGATTTCCAGAATGGTTTAACCTGTCTACACTCCCGCCGACAGTGAAGAAGGGTTCCTTTTTCCCGCACAGCCTCTCCAGAATCATTGGTTGATATTTTGACAATAGCCGTTCTTTCCAGGATGAGGTGGAATCTCAGTGTTGTTTTATTTTGCATCACTTGAATAACTAGTGATGTTGAACATTTTTTTCATATATGTATTTGCTATTTATAGTTCTTTACCTAAGAAGTGTGTGTTTATCTCAGATGTCCATTTTTATATTGAATCTTTAAATTTAGGAGTCTGACTTTTTTGAGTTATTTATATGTTGTTGATAGTAATCCTTTGTCTGAAGAACAGCTGGCAAACACTTTTTCTCATATCGTGGGTTGTCTCTTCACTCTGTTGGTTCTTTCTGCTGTTGTGCAGAATCTTGTTAATAAGGTAAGATACCAGTTGTTGATTCTTTGTGGTAATTCCTGTGCAACTGGGGCTTTATTCATAAAGTCTTTGCTCACGCAAGAGTTTTACCTATTCTATCTTCCAGCACATTTTATGTTTCTGTTTTAATATTTAGATCTTTGATCCTTTTCAAATTTAGTTTAGTGACTGGTGAAAGATACGGGTTCAATTTTAGTCTTTAGCATGTGCAGAGCCATTTTTTCCAGTACCATTTATTAAAGAGGCTGTCTTTCTTCCTGTGAATGTGTTTGGCACTTATGTTATTGATAAGGTGCTTAGGATGTTTGGAGTTTGTCATGGTTTATGTGTGTGTCCCCCAGGCCTCATGAGTTTGAATTGTGCATTTGTTATTCATTCATTGTCTAGTGCTTAGATTAATGGTGTCAGTGCTCCACCCACAAAGGGGTGGAGCCAGGATGTGATGTAATGGCAGGAAGAAGGTATGTCTTGCTTTTTGCTGGTTCCTGCTTGCTGTTTGCATCTCCCATGAATGGTGGCCCAGCCATGCCCGCCTGCCAACTGAAACCTCCAAAAACTGTAAGAAATAAACCTTTCCTTACCCAACTTGGGCATCAGGTATTTTGTCTCAGCGACGAGCATAAAGTAACTAAGACAGAGTTGTTTCTGCATTTTCCAATCTGTCCCACTGATCCTCAGGTCTGATTTTGCTCTCGTTTTTTTTTTTTTTTTTTTTTGCCAATACCATGCTGTTTTCTTCACAGTGGCATTATACAGTAGCTTTATAGTGTAATCTCAAGTCTTGTCTTTATGACCATCACTGCCTTTGGTATTCTAGGTCTCTTTTGGTTCCAAATGAATTGTAGGATTCTTTCTCTAATTGTGTGAGATAATACTGTTGGAATTTTGATCAGGATTGCATTAAATCTATATAACAATGTTAGGAGTATGGCCATTTTTCCTATATTGGTTCTTTCTTCCTACCCAAGAGCAAGGGATCACTTTCTGCCTTCTAATATCCCTTTCTTTCTTTTTTTTTTCAAAGTATTGTTGTTCTCAATGTAAAGTATTTTACATCCTTCACTAGAATGATTCCTAGCTATTTGATTTTTTTGGATGCTATTGTGAAGCATGTTGTTTCCCTGGTTACTCCCTCGATAAGTTTGTTATTCATGTCCAGGAAGGCTATTGATTTTTACTATTGAGCCACACTACTGAATTTGCTTCTTATATCTGCCAGTTTTTTAGTGGACTTTTTGGGGTCTTCTATGCAGAGCATCATGTCAAAAGTTAAATAGTGGTAATTTAACATTTTCCTTTCCTGTCTTTATTCCTTTTGTTTCTTTCTCTTGTCTCAGTCTTCTGGCTAGTGTTTTCAGGACTGTGAAGAATGAGTGGTGCCAGTGGACATCCTTGTCTTGTTTCTGCTTTTGGTGTGAAAACTTTCAGTTTTTGTCCATTTAGTAACATATTGACTGTTAGTCTGTCATAGATGGCTTTTATCTGATTGAGATAAAAACCGTCTATTCCAATTTTCCATAACATTATTTTTATCATGAATGGGTACTGGACTTTTTCAAAGGCTTTTTCTGCGTTTATTGAGATTTCATATGATTTTTGTCCTTCACTCTGTTAATATGATGTGTTACATTTATTGATTTACATATGTCGAACTATCCCAGGATTCGAGTCCCACTTGGTCATGCTGAGTAATCTTCTTAGTGATTTGTTGCATTCTGTTTGCAAGTATCTTATTGAAGAGTTTTGCATATGTGTTCATTAGATAATTTGGCCTGTAATTCATTTTTGTTTGGAATTTTCTCTGATTTTGGTATCATGGTAATACTTGCTTCCAGCAATGAATTTAAGAGTACTGCTTCTCTTTTAATTTCATTACCAAGTTTGAGAAGTAGAAGAAGAGAGGAAATTATACAAATCAGAGCAGAAATTAATGCAATAGAGACTAAGAAAACAATCCAAAGAATCAATGAATCAAAGAGTTGGTTCTTTGAAAGAATAAATAAATAGATAAGCCCCTAGTCAACCTAATTTTAAAAAAGAAAGAAAAAGCTCAAATTCATGCAATAAGAAATGAAAAAGGCAAAATCATTACAAACTCTGTGGAAATACAGAAGATCATCAGCATCTATTTCAAAAACCTCTACTCTCATAGGTTCGATAATACAGAAGAAATGTACAGATTCCTAGAAATATATAAAGTACCAAAGCTAGGTCAAGAAGATGTAAAACTGCTGAATATCCCAATTTCTATTAATGAAATTAAAAATGTAATTAAATGCTTACCTACAAAGAAGAGCCTAGGTCCAGACGGATTCACTGTGGAATTTTACACAAAATACAAAGAAGACTTGATGTCAACACTCTTTAAAATCTTCAGTGAAATCGAAAGGGAAGCAATTCTTCCAAAGTCATTCCTGGAAGCAAATATAACTCTAGTACCAAAACCTGAGAAAGACCCAACTAAAAAAGAGAACTACAGGCCAGTCTCCCAAATGAACACAGTTGCAAAAATCCTCAACAAAATATTGTCAAACAGGATGCAGCAAATCATCAGGAAGATTATACATCATGACCAAGTGGGATTCATCCTAGTCATGCAGGAATGGTTCCACATACATAGTTCAATAAATGCAATCCACCATATCAATAAAGCCAAAAGTAAGAATCGCATGATCATTTCTATAGATGCAGAAAAAGCTTTTGATAAGGTCAACACTCATTCATGATAAGAACCCTACAGAACCTTACAGAAAATTGATATACATGTTCTTTTACTTCAATAAGATAAACCAACATCAATGACAAACCAACAGCCAACATCATATTAAATAGCCAAAAACTGAAGGGCTTCACCTTAAAATCAGGCACAAGACAAGGATGTCCCTTATCTCCTATTCAATTATACTACTATTCAATTATACTCCTATTCAATTATACTACTGCTCCTATTCAATTATACTACTGGCAATACTAGCCAGAGCAGTAAGACAAGAGAGAGAAATAAAAGGGGTAAAGATAAAAGAGGAAGTTAAATTGTCATTATTTGCAGATGACATGATACTCTACATAGAGGACCCCCAAATCTCAATTGAAAGACTCCTAGATATAATAAATTCAGCAGTGTAGCTGGATACACAATCGGTGCTCAAAAATCAATAGCATTTCTATATACTAACAACAAAATTATGGAGAGAAATAAGAGAAGCTACACCCTTCACTATAACATCCAAAAAAATGAAATACTTAGGAATTAATTTCACAAAAGAAGTAAAAGATCTATATGGGGAAAATTATACTACCTTGAAAAAGAAATCGAAGATAATCTCAGAAAATGAAAAGACATCATTTGTTCATGAATAAGGAG